ATGATTTTTCGCCGCTCTTATTCGGCGGCACACATATTTGCCCCGTGTATTTTTGGCAATTATGCCAGCCGCAGCACACGCACAATTTCACTGCCAACACACATTTTCTCGCCGCCGTCTTGGGGTTATTTCTGCAATTATTAAACGGGGCGAACCGCTTACATTTTCGAATGGTGTTTTTGGCACTGGGTTTCGTATTTATTTATCACGGGACGGACGACGGACGACGACGCGGCGCTATTTCAAATTTTAAATACAAGCAGAGGCAGAAGCACGCGACGAAGTAGTGCTGGCCAGTCAATTCAGCTGTTTTCCCCACTATATCTGGCGTGTCGATATTTTTGCCCAAATATCGAAATCGCGATATTTTTGTTTGATATTTTTTGATATTTTCTCCTTGGTCACTCTGAATTTCAAAGCAAAGCAACAGCTGTCTGCGGTTGTTTTCCAATACTGGCCACAGCAACAAGTGTTGGTTTGGGCGGAAGAGAAATTAAGGAGAACTTTTGAGCGGCAATTTCAAAAGTTATGTGATCTTTATGAAAACGTTGGGTTACAGTAATAAGTATAATGTTTCTAGTTATACGATTTCTTGTGTGATGCTTGCAACTTGCCCAGTTGCAATAAATGAAATTTAAAAAAATATCGGATTCTCAATCAAAGATTCATGAGCCAAAGTTGTTTTTTAATAAACGAAAAGGTCAATAACCCTATAAAATAAATTACAAATGTGCTAAATATTTTTGTTTGTTGATATTTGTGCACTAATACAAGAAAACAAGACACACAATCAAATCTAGGATATTCAAAATAGAAAGCGTAAACGTATTTATAGAAATTTCTTCGTAAACTTGTTCCAGAAGTCTTGATAATTTTCATAAAATACAAATACAAATTTGTTAAAAAAAAAAGTTTTCTTGAATTTAAATTTAAAACCACTTTTAAGTGTATAAACCAATCAAAATCTGAGGGCATTTCTAAAAGAGCTCATGAAATATTGACAGAAATATTCAAACAAATGTCAGCGACGAAAAATACGGCAGAAGAAATTTGCATGTGATACAAAAAGAATTTGTAGTGAATATAGTATATTTGGCAATTTATTTTTAATCTGCTTTCTTGCGAAGATAAAAGAAAATTGCGTTTCGCGTCAAAGTGAAAGTAGATAAACACTCAGAAATATTTAAAAACGCATAAAAAACACAAAAACCAGATGACAAGTTTAAGCAAACTTTTTGTGTTTTTCTGACAATGGAAATATATACACACTTATTTATATAGAATTTAGTATACAACGATTGTATAACACACACAGAATATGATTCAAAGGCTGGGGCCCCGCACAAGTTTCCGCTGATAAATTCATATTAATTGAGCAATTTCATAGCGACGCGGCAATGACATACAAGAGCCATATAAACAAATATATTAGAATATTAAAATTTTTGGTTTTCATTCCATAAAAGGCTATGTTAGTAGACCTAGCTTTGGTCCTGAATAAATAAGTAATTAAGTATTTAAGGCACAAAAAATTCCGTTCATAACCCTTTTCTCAAGAAAATAATCAACATAAAGTCACACAAATGATTGAGTCACTTTCTAGTCAGCAAACAATAAGGCTTTTATCACAAAAGCAAGGTTTTGCCTTGTTCAGATCAAACTTATATAGCTTAAGTTTTGGTTTCCCTGGTTTTATGAAAAATTTCGTAATATAAACATTGCAAACTCACGGAAATAATTGAGGCACTCTCGGGTCTGCTCCTTGGTCAAGCCCAGACCCTCTGATGGAATGGGCAGCGCTGGGGCCGGAACAAACCAGTCCTCATTCGCATAGCCGGAGAAGTTTGTGAGGAAGTCGTTGCGCACCTTGTACTTGGGTATTTGCTCCTCTAGCAGCGAAAAGATCTCCACTTCGGGCAGGTTCTCGCTGCTGCACAGCTCTGCAATAAATAAACAAACAAATTAGCATGACTGTGTTTATTAGCTTAAAATGCAGTTACAGTCAAACCTCCTTAACTCGGCTTTACTTAGGTTTTAAATTTTAGATTAATTTATTTTGTAATGTAGTGGCATACCTTGGGGCACCATATCCCCCCAGCGATTGCAATTGTATTACAACTGACTAAAAATTAAATATAAAATGCAACACACTTAGGTATCCACTTTTTTTAAGTTCAAAACTATTCTTAGTAATGTCCGTGTTAGAAAAGCTTGACTGGGTTCGCACTTACCTGTTAGGCAACTGGCATCACAGGTCTGGGGTCTCGGGGAAGCCGTCGACTGCGTCTGCTGGAGGAGACGCTTCGATTGGAGGCGCGGCAGGTGCTTGCTGAGCGTCGCCTGGGCGGAGGGACTGAGCGGCTGAGGGCCGCCATTGGCCCCCAGTGTTGCAGATAGCATTAAATGGTGATCGCTCCTGGATTCCAGTATTGTCGTGGATTGTTACTCTTCGGTTTAGGGTTGGGGATTAAATCTCTTATGGGTTTCCTGGGGACTCCTCTGCTTCGCGTCTGGTTAGTTGCTCAACTAAAAAAGCAGAGAGAGAGAAAGAGGCGCGGACTTGTGTTAATTGTCTGGCAATCACATGAAACTAATAAGCCAGCTGCCAAGCGACTTTTCCACTCTATTTTCGCTGTTTGCCTTTCATGAGTATGGGAATGAGTATGAGTTCACTGCTAACAAACGATCGGGGGAACGAACGTACGCGGCTGTCGCTTATCTGACTGCTGATAAGGGCGGCGGGGAAGAAAAAGTGAATGATTATTAATACTATAAATATTGGCGAAACGTCAAAGGATTTTCGTTTAATATTTATCAACTACTAAATTGGCAGTGGCAAAGTTTCACACTCAGTGGCACAAATGTGTGTAATGCAAACAGTTTTACATGAAATAATGTCGAATGCTACTGGTAAGCCATTATTGGGGTTTTAAATTATGAAAGGATTAAATTATGGATATTCTGAGTAAATAATAATAATAAAATTTAAAACTCGATTTTAGAAAGACAAAAGACTCGAGAAAAACAAAGGTAAATGGTCTTTTTACAGCAATGCAATTTATTTTGATTTTAAATCCTTGACCATTTCCAATATTCCTTCTGATTTGATGCTTAACGTAATCACTTTTACAACTTAAAAACGATTACCTTAAATTTATTTTATATCATTTTATGAGGTAAGCTTCAAAACTAACAATTACTAAGGAGTATGTTAAGCGTCGCGCAGGCGTCTACTGATCTCGACCCCAATATTGATTGATGGAGCGGAGGCTGGTTTGCCGAGTCACGACGCTGTGCTTCGAGGTCGGAAACGGTGAGTACTTCTCTCAAAAGCAGAACCAAGAGCCAAAGAGCTGGAGAGATGGCCAAAATCAAGTGGAACAGATAGACTACGTGCCCAGAGGCGCGTTGCCTGCAATGGAAACCGCAGTGATAATGACGCGAAGCGAACAAGCGCCGAATGAAGTGTAATTAGGCAATAAACACAGCGAAGCGAGTATCGTTAAAACGGAGAAGGAGCGGGTGCGACGGTGGAGTGTGAATTGGAGTCTGCAATTTGCAACTCGGTGACGCACAAAGACCAACGGACTCCGGGCAGCATGTGACGACGCTTTGGACTCAAAAAAGGCTTGGTTCGCGGGGTGTCCCAGCGCAAAGAAATCGCGATAATGCCGCCCAATGATAACACTGTTCAAATCAATGGCGTTTTTTTGCGCTCATTTGCTATTTGCTGCATTGTGCATTGCATAACACACATGGCAAATCGAAGAGCTCTGAGAGGAATTTACATACATATATAGACTAGGGCCAGAAATAACAAAACAGAAGAAAATCGTGAATGGAAACCGGCGACGTCGGACGTAACGGTAATAGTCGGGCTGCTCTGTCGCCGCGCTGCTGCTGCGCTGTCATGACGCTGCCAACTCGCACTTTCACACTCACACAGGAAGACGTTTTTCATTCCTTTTTCAAGCGTAAGGCGCGCAATTGTCAGGCAGAACGGGGAAACAACAACACTAGCGTGGATGGCATAATGCTCTAAAATTAATTTCGAAGCAAACGACAACCCTCAGACGCTTGCCAAAATCCGAGCATTTGTTTAAGTTGCTGCTGCTGCCGCCGTTGTTTTGGCGTTGCTTTTGTTGTTCTTTTTGGTCTATTTTCACGCCGCACAAACACACACGCACCAGCGCTTGGACACTTCGTGCTCCCTTATATAAGTTGCCAGTGGGGCAGGGTCATTAAACGGCAGCGACACCGTTGCAATGTTGTGCTTTTTAGGGCTCACACCGATTGATTTATCACGGGCAGCATGAATCAGCTGGGCGACGGGTGGGGGGCTGGGAATGAAGGATGGAGATGCTGGTGCGTGGGGGAGGTCAAAAATGAGCACACACACAATCTTGCGTGGGCGCAGCTGTGCGCCTGTGTGTGTGCGGGAATTATAAAACACTGTTCGCGCACACTTCTCACATTTCATAATAGTTTTCCCCTTCTCGGAAAAACTAACCTTAGCGCCAAGGCGTCCAATTATTGAATTTTCATTTCGGCCCTACTCTTTGCTTTGCTTGGCCGTTGCTTTTGTTGCTTCAGTTGCCTGTGGTACCTACATTTGTTGTAGTTGTGCGCTTGTGTTTGCCATTTTTTCCATCGCTGTGCTGCTTTCACAAACACACACAAACACACGGACGGGGGAGCTCGGGGGTCACATGGAATTTTCTTCTACTCCGCACTGCACATCGCGCTCGCTAATGGTTGGTAAACGTTGGCAAATGTTTGGTTCAACTGGTAAAATACACGGCGTGCCCCGAGTGCGTGTCCGATGTTGTGAATTAAAATTTTATTTAACTAGATTTCGATTTGCAGCTGCCGAAATTCGTGCACGAACAGGGCTGCTCGGTCAAGTATCGGAATGTATCGATAATACCAAATTTCACGAGGCGGCAGCCCTGTTAATCGGCCTATCGCTATCGGCGCTTGAAATTAAACACACTTTTGGCTCGTTGTCTTTTTTGTTTTATTTTTGATTCGATAGTCTTTTCTACAAATATTTGTATAGTAAAACTAGGCTAGGCTGGGCTTAACAAATAGGCTTTTAATATTGAAAAAAATGAAAATTATTTTCCGGCCCGCCCCAGATTACCACCTATCGTCCATCGGTGTCTGTGCCCTCAACTTGTTTTTGGCGGTCAAACTAGCAAATTACAATTTAGAACTAAGTTATTTTCGATCTGGAAAGATCAGAGCAGCATTTCAGATTACATTTAAATTAGTTTCAAAGTTGAAATCCCAAATTAGAGCGGTTTGGCGGGTTAGGAATGCCTAATTTATATAATTTCATATATATTTATAAGTGTATTTAGTAATTGTATTTGAATATGTGCCCCTGGTTTCAGCTTGCGTCGAAAGTCTTTGAAAAAAATTTAAAAAGTTCTGGCCAAAAATGATTTGCGTAACGAATATTAACAAATTTCCCCCCTGCACATCCGTAATAGGTCCTGTCCTCCCTCCGCATCCTCAATCGTCGGTATTCTTGCGGGTGGATGCAACCAGATTGACGGCGCTGATGGAGTCCGGAAACATGGAGTGGTAGTTAATCAGGGGCACATACGCCGCCGTGATCACACGTCCGGCAAACCAGCGTCCGTGCAGCGCGTTCACTGCCAGCACCGCCGTCGTTGTGCTTGGACACTTTACGTAGACGGTGCCCGTGGGGGAGGTGGTGTCCACGTGGATATGCAGCACACCGCCGTGCTTGGCGCACTCCTCCAGCACATCGTCTCGTATCTCCACGTCCCAGGTGGGATTGGTTTCCGTTCGCGGATCAAACATATTGGACAATATGAAGCACTGTGTGGCAATCGAGGGTGCTGCCTGCTGCTGCTGCACCGGTGCTGGCTGCGGAGCTGTGGCCAGCAGCGCATTGGCCGCCGCTTGGGGCACCGCCAGGCCGGCTCCCTCTGCTAGCTTGAACATCAGCTGTAGGCGTCCAGTAGCGCCCAGATCAATGCCAGTGCGATCCATCTCGTCCGTGTCCAGCGATGTTGTGTTCATGTCAAGGCGCTCCGTCACGTTGCCTACCTTCATGAGGCGGCCTGCCAGCTCGAAGCCGTTCAGTTGTTCCAAAGCCTTTTTGGCATCGTCAGCGTTGTGGTACTACAGGGTAAAAAATGTGAGATGTTTAATCTACATTCGGAAGAAACTAATGCCTAACTCACCGTTATAAAGCCGTATCCCTTGGACCGGCCTGTCTCCGTGTCCATGATCAGTTGAATCGCATCAATCTTGCCGAACGGCTCGAATATGCCCCTCAGCATGTCCTCGGTGATGTTGAAGTGCAATGATCCCACGTAGAGGCGCATGGGACCCGTATGACTCTTCGGCTGGAATGCCGGTGCCGCATTCTGGAGTCGATTCTTCTCCGCCTGCGTGTGTTGCACCATAATGGGCACGCCGAGCAGCCGCTGGCCGGACAAACCCAGGGCCAGGGCCACGGACTCGGGATCCTCGAATTCGATGTAGGCAATGCCCTTGAAACGTTTCGTCTTGTTGCATGTGATCAGGCGAACGTCACGCACTTTTCCGACGCTCGAGAAGAACTCTTCCAAGTCCCGTGCGCGAACCCGTTGCGACAGCTGAATGCAGAAGACAGTGCGGGCGTCACGCTCCTCGGGACTGAGCTCGGTAGGCGGGGTCCGGTCACCAGCTCCGTTTGGCGGCGAGCGGCGGCGAGGGGAGTTACTGCCTCGCCGACGGCTGCTACTTGTGCGGATAAAAATAGTGGTTAATAAGCAATCCATGAAAGCAGGAATTAAAACTTACTTTCTATCCTTTGAACGGGAATGACTGCGTTTGCGTTCACGTATAGGACTTAGCCTTTTGCGCTGCTGATCGCGAGACCGACTGCGTCGCCGTCTCTCCCGTGACCGGTCCCGCTGCTGGCTCTTGCTGCCCCCACGACGATCTCTTGCAGGGCGATCCCTATCCCGATCGCCGTAACGCATGCGGCGATCATCACCGCCACCACCTCCACGCTCATCCCGTGATCGACTCCGTCGAGGTCTGTCACGTTCACGATCCCGCTCCCTCTCTCGGTCCCTGTCGCTGCGGGATTTATTGTCGCGGTTTCGATCGCGGTCTTTGTCTTTGTCCTTGTCCTTATCCCGGTGACTGCTTCGTTCACTGCCGCGGTCGCCGCGATCACGACGAGACTTGCCATCACGCGAGCCGCTTCGACTCCTGAGGAAGGTGGATAAAGTTATTATACTGAAGGAATCTGCGCAATGTAGGGCTGATAATAGAGGGAATAACTTACCGGGATCGCTTGCTTTGTTTTTTGTTTGAGCTTCCACCGCCGCTGCCATTGCGTGTTCCATTCTCGGGATGGTCGTCGTCATGGCCTCCACCGCCGGGACTGCTGCCGCTGCGCTTGCGTCCACCACGTCCCCCGCTGCCCGCACTGACATTCTACACAGATAGGTTGGTTTTGTTTTTTTTTTTTTTTTGTGGATTTTGGATTGGGGTGGATGGTTTGGACAGGTTGAGGAGAAGGAGATGGTTGGGGGCGGGCCCAAGCAATAATGTACATACATATAATTGGATTATTTTTTTGTCGATTGGATTTCAGTTTTTGTGGTGGGGGTAGGAACACATAACGGGCGTTGGTTGATCGTTCGTTACGTTGTTGTCGTTGTTGAGATGTTGGTTGGTTGATTTTCGATTATATCATTTGAGTTTGTTATGATATATTATTTTTTCAGTTTCGTACATATTTTTTTTGAAATATTTTTTTTTTTTTTTTTTTTTTAATAAGAGAAAGCAAATCAAAGTAAATTAGTTAAATTTTTGGTATCTGCAAGTATATAAAATAGAAATGCTTAAGTCAACAATGATCATTTGTGGATCATTGCCGATTCACAGCAAGGTAGTAATAGAGTAATAATAATAGAGATCTTATACGTAGTTTTTTGGTAAATATAATATATATATTGTATATATGGCACACACACAGATGGTTCACGACGGCGAGAAATGTTGTCTCCACATGGGCAAATTTCCCATGCTCATTCTCAATCTCATTGTCAATCAGTTCAGTTCAGTTTTGAGGGAATGTTTAGCGCTGGCTAGTGGAGTGGAGTGGACTTGGTTGATTGGTTCTCAAAAAGACGTCGTCTATATATATATAGGACATAGACATTATATAAGTAAATTTGTAAAGCTAGTTTAAGAATTGCTTATTACTTTTTGCTTGTTTTCAAATAGAGTTATTTTAGCTTTGTGGGCTTTTTGTGTTGGTCATTGCTTATTTTTGATTTCTTTTCTGTTTATGGTAATTCTGTAATTTCTGGGCGAGACTTTCTCTCTTGTCTGTCTGTGAGTGAGAGTAGTAGTTGTGCTGCCTGCTGCCCCAGACAAGTTAGGAGGAGTTTATCTGAAATTTAGTGCACGTTCAGTTTCATTGGTTTACATAGAGAGCGGTAAATAAACGGATTTCAATTGGAGTGTGTTCAAGAAAAAAAACGCAAACATAAACAAATCATATTTAATACAAAATGCCTAGATATGTTTTGGTTTTTTTTTTTTATTGTTTTTAATTTTGTAATTGGTTTTTTTATTCGCAGCTTCTGTGGCACAATCAAACTTACCAAATGGTCTCCAGCTTTTTGTGTTTAGAATGACCAAAACAATCTCTAGCAACAATATTGAGCTTATACGATTCTCTGCAAAGACATTTCACCCTTAAGAATTATTCTAGCATTTTGGTTTTTTGTTTATATTTTTTTAAGGTGATTGTGTGGGTATTTTTTTTTTCATATATTGTTCTTAGTGAGAGACAGCAGATAGGGAGAAATAAGAGCGTTCACAACTCAAGTATGTGCCCTCCACATTGGAATATGTTTACAAGATGAGATTTCGTGCATTTTAACAAAAACCTGAATAATCTGGAAAATTAGATAGTTAACAATCGGACGAATTAAATGATTTCGTAGTCTGATTAAAATAATTGCCAATTTAATAACAGTTCTGATCTATTACTATCAACATGTCAGATCTTCAGAAATGAGCAAATAAGTGTAAATATTCTTTTAAACTAATGATTCGGGTTCTGAGTTATTTGGTCAAACAGAAGCTGAAGTAGATCTACTTGGCAATACAGTCAAGTATCTTTGGAAACTGAATTTTTTTTAGATTTTTTTTAAGGTAATTATGTTAGTTGTGTCTACAGCTCCCATATTTTCATTGATTTAAAAGATAAGACCATAGTCTATTATAGAAACATAATAGGTTTTGAAGACGGTAGAGCTAAGGATATACAACGTTCGACTTCGTAAGCGAGTTAAAGTTGTTTTCTTTTTCAATATGATATAGAATGCTTTATAACCTTTTCCCACTTTAAGAGTCGCTTGCAGATAGATGGTTTACCCAATTACGAGAGGACAATAAAAAAATGTATGCATACACAACTAAATTGTCCGTCAGTCAGTAGTGAAGATCAAAGTTCAAGTAAAAACCAAACAAAGAACATAAACAGTAAATCCCAGAGTAAGTTCACATACGATAAAATAAAATATTCAGAAAATGACCGAAGCCAAAATGTTGAAAATGTTTTTTCAATAGTTTTTACTAAAAAAATATAGTATTTAATAGCATAATCGTCTATTCTAGAGTATATAATTGTAAATCAATGTTAAAAAAATTAGTATACTTTTTATTTTTGTCTTTGTCTTTCAAATAATTTGTAATTTAATTTAATTTTAATTTTTATGAATAATTAAATGTTAAAAGGGGACTAAAAAACTCCATATTTTGTCCCCTTTTTAATTGTCATTGCCCGCCACTGTGCCCATTTTTTTTTGGGACCGACAACCACTGTTCCAAATATCGCAGAAAAAAAAAAATAAACAAGAAAAACGCACATACAGACAGAGATTTGCCCACATTGCGTTTGGCGAAATTATTTCTGAATGCGCGCAGTCAGGTATGAAACTAGATGAACAAAAAAATCACACAGTGCACCGTTACGCCTGCCGATTTTTCCGAAATAACAACAAAATTAGGTTAAAAATCGATTTAAGACTGGCGGCCACTTAATATGCATCGAGTGCACATGTGTGTATGTGTGCCCGAGACGACGACGACTTACATACAAACACAAAATGCACGTACGAACGGCGCGCTTGTGGGTGTCTATGTGAAAAAGAAGTATACAGACATATGAAGTAACTGTTTTTTCGCAGCAAAATAATCACATTTTTAGGTACAAACCAGTAGGTCTTAATTTTAATGATAATCTTTTTAAGGTGGCATTCGAAACTTACATTCTTCTGGTACGGCGCCTCGAGCATCGCCTCCACGTCAAAGTCCTCGGCCATGTTCAATTTCCTCGGCTTTCTGCTCCTTCCGCTGCTGGCTGCGGGGTGCTGCGTGAAAAAAGTCTCCCGCTCGGCGTCTGGCACGTTTGGAGAAATCAAAAGGTGGTGGATACGCTCAGCGCAATTCGCAGGACCACTTACAAACTTCTTTTGAGGTTTTAGCGTTTAGTAAAGTTCAATTTTCATAAATTTTCCACAACTTTTTCCTCTAGCGTGGCTGCTTGTTTTTTCAGGCATCAGGGTTGTTGTGAAAAATGTATCGACGTATCGATCTATCGAATAGTCGCCATAAAAACTTAGTCGATAGTTTGAGAAAACAATTTAAGGTATGTATGTACATATTTACCTACTTGAAAAAAAGTAGAACTACAGAACTATAGAAACTATTAGTAGGAATACAGTTTTACTAAATTGTATAGTCGATTTTTGTATATATCGATATTTGAATTGAATTCGTTCAGTGTGACCGCACTGCTGGTATTGTCTCGATAAGACGAAACGGTCGCATTTCATTCACAAATCCAATACCATCACAATAATCGAAAAACAGCAAAATTCTGTTGGTAAACATACGCAAAAGAAAAGACAATTGGCAATTAATGCGCCAGCATGCAACCAGTTGCCGATTTTCCAATACTCCGAGTCTGGCCAGCGCGCTTTGAATAAATGCGCGGCGGATTATGGTTATCACTGATTAGACAAAATAGAGCACTTGGAGGAGCGCTGCTGTGTTGAGTCATCACCAAAATAGCCAAAAAGAAAACAACAAAAAAACAAAGCACGAGAGCAGCAGCCTTGAGGCCGACCGTTAGCCCCACCGTCAGAGAGCCACAGGTGAGAGGCGAGTCTCCTGCCCGGATGGCGTAAGCGAGTCCAAGGAACCACCCCATCATCGCACATCGCATTCATCGTTACGCGTCGTTGACTAAGGTGTGTCTAAACTCCGAATTGGGACCAACTAACTTTCGCCTCCGTTTTCAGAGCACACACACAGACACACACCTTTTCGACGCCCACGCAATCTCTCTTTGGCTGCTTCAGCAATGGAGGACTACAAGTTCCTGTTCAAAATCGTCCTTGTGGGTAACGCTGGCGTCGGGAAGACCTGCTTGGTGCGGCGCTTCACCCAGGGACTGTTTCCGCCCGGCCAGGGCGCCACCATAGGTGTGGACTTCATGATCAAAACCGTGGAGGTGGAGGGCGAGAAGATTAAGCTACAGATCTGGGACACGGCCGGACAGGAAAGGTTTCGCTCTATCACCCAGAGCTACTACCGCTCAGCTCATGCACTGATCCTGGTGTACGACATCAGTTGCCAGCCCACGTTCGATTGCCTGCCCGATTGGCTGCGCGAGATCCAGGAATATGCCAACTCTAAGGTGCTGAAGATACTTGTCGGCAACAAAACGGACCGAGACGACCGCGAGATACCCACCCAGATTGGCGAGGAGTTCGCAAAGCAACATGACATGTACTTCCTGGAGACGTCTGCCAAGGAGGCGGAGAACGTGGAGCGGCTGTTCTACGAGATTGCCGCTGAGCTGATTGGCCAGGCGCGGAGCAAGGATGGCAGCAGTGCTGCCGCTGCGGCGGCCGCTCAGCGACAATCGGAGGGAAGCTCCATTGGACTGGGGAGCTTCAGTGCCAAAGCAGCGCAGAGTAATTGCTGTGGTGGACTCGCCGGCGGCGGCGGAGGTGGCAGCAATGGCTCAAACACTAGTCATACGGGCTAAGGTTTACGCCAAACTGAGAAACTGAGCAGCTAATTTATACCTAGTTAAAGCTAAGTCGTGATATTCCATTGATCTTTTGAGAGTCCATCGCAATTATTTTATTTTTTTTTTTACGGCTAATCCAGCTTCCATATTCTAAGGATTGTATTCCCATGACTGTTTGACTTTCGTTCGGGGAAGCCTAACATCACAGTTACCCATGACTAAAGAATTCTTCAATTTCTGAATATCACGATGAAGATCCACTCCAAAAACTAGCTGTCAATGACTAAATGGATGCTAAATATTTGTGTTACATAAACTTCAGTCTCCTGAAGCCTGATTTTCTTGATTAAGTATTATATAAACGTATTGATTGCGATTACCAAGTGAGCATCACAGCTAATGCTTCAGATGAATTTATTATATCAATAATTAATGCACACACAGTTCTGTTTAGTTTTAATTGTTTTTCCTAAGGAGTATTGTACATTTTATACATTTTTTTTCTATGTATTTATTTTGCAATTACTTTAAAGTATTTTTATATGATTAATGTGCAATCATTTATAAAGCAAGTTTTAATGGTACTCGTAATATTGTAAGGTGATTTTATGACATTCCAAAAATTAAGCATGTAGTTAAAACTATGGGATAGACCACAAACGAAAGCTAAATGAAAAACTAAAGAAAGAAAATAAACTGATATTGTAATTTAGAAGGAAATCTGTGAATATTTTCTAAATGGAAGTGAGACTTACCTGGTTCTGTCGACATCCCATAAGGAAAATTCTTAAATCACTCTGATAACAAAATTTAATCAACTAACTACAGCCTCTCTCTTAAATACAAAACATGTAACCTAATTCAACAAATCATTCGCCAGCTCCACGCCAAAGAAAACAGCGGCTGTCGAGGGAAAGGCACGTAATAGTATCGGGAGAATGCCTCTGAATAGAGCTCTCGGCCCCTCGGTGGCCATCAGGTCTCGGAAAACGCTTCGAATGCCGTGCTTATAAGTGCCCTCGGGTGCTGCAATTTGAAAATGGTTTATTTATAAGCTTCGATTTGTGAGTAAAGGTTTGACGTGGCTGACTCACCCGACTGGAGGCGGCTTTTAAGTACATCAAAGGGCACGGCCAAAGTCCAAAACACAATGCCAGCCGTTCCGCCGGATAAAATCGTTGATGTGGTGCTAATCTGTCCTGTTTTGGACTTTTGCCTGGCCAAGTTCTGCAGGAACTCGTAGGTCACAAAGTAGAAGCCGGTGGGGGAATCTAGGGGTTTAGCTTAACTTATATCTGTTGCTTTTCGATTATGCAAAGCTAAGTTACTTACCTCTCAGAATGCAGGCACAGGTACCCTTGAATAGACTCCTAATCCCGCCCTGCCTATACAGCTTTATCGCCGTATCCATGGTGCCATTGTACAGCAATGGACCACTGGACACGGTTTGTGTTTGAAGCAACACCTTGATCCGATCGGTGGGCACTGTCACGAGTGCGGAGCAGACTCCGGCTAGGGCTCCGGCAGCAAAGATTTGCGGGTAGGTGAGCCTAATGTGTTCGTCCGTTTGAAATAATCGTTTGCCCGCCGCGTACACGGCAAAGTCCACTGCGTAGATGGGCGTTACGCCAACCAGAGGAGCGGAAATTCCCCTATAGAAACCTCGGAATCCCTCCTGCCGGAATATCCTTACGGCGCAGTCCGCAACGCCCTTGTATCGGGGTGGCTGTCCTGGCAATGGCATGGGCATGGTCTGCAGGCGAACCTGGTGAAGTTGAGGAGACACATGTGTTATCCCAGGAATTTCACACAAACTCAATTTCTTGGCTCACCTTAATTGTGTCCAGGGGATGACCGACGACCACGTTGCACATGCCGCCAAAGCCGCCGGCAATGAAGGACTTGACGGGATTGGCCTTTCGGTCCGTAGATTGGATCTCCACGGTCGTCATCGCGTGATTACTTCTATTTACGTAAACAATCTGGTAAATCCGTAAGCCTCTTAGGAACGAACGGGCACGTGTGAAGAACGAAAAACGCCAAATTTCAGCTGTTGCTATCACTTCGTTATCTCTTCTCTAAGCGGTTGCTGACCTATGTTAATGCTGTGTTCCGCAGGTTGTGGGAGTACTGCTACTACTTCCATGATCAATTGGCTTATCGCTTTAAATTGTATTTCATTTGATTCCACCGAAATTGCAGTCTCTTCAGCGCCAATCTGAGCAGGGCTGCCAATTCAGCTATTTTGACGTCAAAAAAGTTGTTTAGTAATAAAATGACTTTGTCGGTCTAAGTACTATTCTTAGAAAAAAAGCACATGGTAAAAAAACACGGGAAATATCGTTACGATTTAAGTTTTGTTTTTTTGTTTAATAGTTTTAGGTTTTCCTTTTTATTTATACAAGTCAGAAATTATTTTTTTTATCAGTTGGCAGCACTACCGATACCGATACCAGCGCAACAAAAAATACTAGCTATAAACTCTTTCAGATATAGAGCGTCCAAAATTGTGTATTTATTGTCACATTGTAAACAATTTTAACCGAAGATATACATAGAAATAAGTTTGCAAAACAGAGAAATACAATATATATTTTTGAAATTCTGTGTTCGATCACAAAAACAGCCAATATACCTAATACCAAATTTTAATCGACATTCGCTGCGAGACGCGTGCACGGCCACACAAAGAATTAAAAAAAAAAAATAAAAAGCAAAGAGACATGTTTAATCATTGAAATTAAATGCATAGCAATTACTGTTGGCAATAAACGGGTGCCTCCACACCTCTGGCGACACGCATGTTGGCTGAAGGCTCGCAGTTGCTCATCCTGCAGCAGTGGAAAGCTAAAAACCTCGGCCAGAAGAGCAAGAAGAAGAAGCAGCACTGACAACAACAACGGCAACAACAGAACAAAATTGTTGCGTATTGTGTTTTTTTCCAGCAGTGTCGAGGAGCGGATTTCGTGAAAATTGTGTGTGCCAACCATACGCCTAACTTATGTCTGATAAAAGTGCGAAGGAATCATGTATCAGTCGTAGTGCGAGCTTCAGCAGCAGGCGCAAGAGAAGGAAGTGAGCAAGGCGAGCAGAGCGGAGGAGGAGAGAGCGTAAAGCAACCAAGTATATATTCGAGCGCCCCAGCACGCAACGTGTTCCGTTTAACAAAACGAGCTTGTGCTAAACAATGTCCCATGGCGAGGATGTGCTAGACAACTGGGAGGAAATTGACGAGACGGCGGTGAGTACTCGCTGGCTGACAGCTCTCCAACATCCCAATTCAATGCTATCCTCCGTCTACCACACAGATCTCGTTGACATTGCAAAATCAGCTGCAGCTGCAGACTAGTGACGATCGTCCAGTTGGCAAAATGAAACTGCTTCAGCGCCCGCAGAGCCTCCTGGAGAGCAACAGCAGCAGCAGCGGGGGCGGCAGCACTCCTTCGCCCAGGCAGATAACCATTGCCAGAAAGCCGACTCCGCTGCAGCCAACAGAGGCTGATTTGCAGGCCCCCCAGCCCGTTATGATGGTGCTGCACAAGTCGACAAACGACTATGATTCAGCCAGCTATGCCACGCCCACCACTAATCAGACGGTGAAGATTCTGCGGCGACCGGCCCAGGCGGAGGAGCGTCGCGACACGAACGGTATGCGTCCCAAGCAGCCGATCAAGACGCTCAAGCAGCGCGAGCAAGAGTACGCCGAGGCCAGGCTTCGTATCCTGGGTGCGGCCAAAAATCCAGAGGATGACAAACCGTAAGTACTACCAAATGAATTAGGAAAACGATCAAAAGTTCCCATAGTGACCATATAGTTACCAAAGCCAAAACTTTTCTAATTTTCTAATTTTTTTCATTTTAGAGCCGCTCCCAGCACGCCAACTGCCTGTGGCAGTACAACAGCGACCGCTCCGCCCTCGGCACCGGCTGCCACACCACCTTCTGCCACAGCGAGCAGCAACAACAATATCAATAACAACAATGGCAGCCATCCAGCGGCGGGAATGCATCGCTCCAGTTCGGCTCCGAAGATGTCCCAGGGGTCGGCCATGTATAATAACTACAACAGCTACTTCCAGGGGCCGCACAATCAGCCGGGCTTGAACTACTACTATCCCCACAATGTGCAGCAGCCGTCACAGCAGCAGCAGCAGTCGCCCTCCATTCAGCCCCATTATAACCAGCGCTTGCCGCCATATGGAGGTGGAGGTCTTGGTGGCGTAGGGATGCCGGCCCAAGCACAGCAGACCCAGACGTCGCCCAATCCGCAGCAGAGCTGGTCCCCAGTGGTGGGCGGTAGTGTGTCTGCTGCCCTGCTGCGCCAGCAATCGTTGCAATCGCCCCAGCAACAGCAGCAGCAACTCGCTCAGCACCCGCATCCGCATCCCTTTAACGAAGTCCTGCGATTGCCTCGTGGCCCGAATGGCTCCATTGGCTTTCAGATGCGCCGGTAACAGACTGAAGCGATGAAGTACGGCGGGGTGCCACCATTTCAAGAGCTTCTTCTATATTCTTCGCATGTTTTTCTTTAGAACCACCACAAAAAAAAGCATGAAACAATTCATTCTGAGATTCTGAGTCGCCGAACATTAAAAAATTTTTCGATGTGGCGCATATTCGTTGCTTTATCCCACAGGCTACTCTACCCAAGCATCAACAACAACAATGTAAAACAAATTTTATGAAGGACTACGGTAGATATTTTGTAAATTTACAACTCACACTACACAATTTTGTATAATGCATACTAATAAAACGAAACCATAATTTTAAATAGTGACAGAACACAACTAGTGCTGAAAACTACTCTTATATTGTTTTGTTTCGAGATTAGTAATTGATATAACAAAGTGTACTAGTTGTATTTATGTTATTTTCGTGCCATTGTTTATTTCTGGAGTACAATGATCCCTTAAATTACTGAGCCAAAGGTGTTATCTTGTTTACAGCTTCAAAGCCACATCAATCAGAAGCTGTTAAATTATGGATTTTTAAAAACTTATTTAGTAAAATCAGCTCTGTTTTAACAATGTTATACCTACAGATACATAATTTATGATTGTTTATTGAAATTAATTATGTAAATAAGTTTTAAACTAGTGTGACCCTGAAATGGTAAATTCCAAAGGAGTTTAGAAGCTTTTAAGCAATTCTTAGATAAGCTTAAACAGAGCTTTTAGACGCCGGCTGATCTTTTAGGAGATCATTAATATTCCAGATCATTCCATTTATTTTTTTGATTCCTTAATTAATGCCAGCTCAATAGGCGATGCATTTGGTGTTGTTACAGTTTCATTTACCCCCAGCGATCGTTGCTTCTTCAGAGGTTCCGAAAGGCTATCGCCGTGTTTTTGTTATTTGTATTCGCCAATCCCACGATGGAAAACAACAAACAGTGGGAAAAAAGTGCAACTGAGACGGGCGGGGGCTCCTTATCAGCCCACGAACACAAACATAATCGGACGCTGACGTCGCGACGTCGCCTACCTAGGCCTAGGGCGATAGAGCACATGAAAATATATTCGGATCTCAGTTGGAAACGAGGCGTCGTACGGTGCGGTTTATTACTGGATCCATAAGATCGCTGGAAGCAAAACATAAGCGCAAACATAGGGTTTAAAGCCCCCCCACTCTCTCAGTCTAAAGCTCCCTCGCTCTCTCCGTGCGTGTATCGCGTGTGCGCTCTCTCGTTCTCTTGTTTGCCAAGCTCAACACGTGGGCGAGCATCAAAAAAGCGATATTATTATTGCTTTGGAAACGTGATTAGTTCTGGTTGTTGTTTTCCATTCGAAATATGTCGCACCGCGTCCTAGTAATCGGCAGCGGGGGTCGGGAGCACGCCATTTGTTGGAAGCTCTCGCAGTCGCCGAAAATAAAGCAGATCTACGCCCTGCCCGGCAGCTATGGCATCCAGCAGGTGGACAAATGCCAGAATCTGGACTCCAAGGTCCTGGACCCAAAGGATTTCGAGGTATGTAGGTTGTTGTCCCCGTCCACGGCTTGACCTTGAGTCAATTAACGGTGCCCATTGTGGGGGTTAATTGAGTTGCAGCTGCAAAAGCAAAAGTTCGTGGAATTTTCGGCACTTAAATGTAGTTTGGTTCCGTTTTATTGCCTCTGTGATACATTTTTATGGCTTCCCAACATGGTGACTATGCTGTCGGAGAGTTTTTTTATGCTCTGAGCCCGCAATAAATCCGTAATCGAGACGCGGGAGAGAAGATTCCAGTGCAGATTAAGTGCAGCCATCGCTGATAAGTCGCAGCTGCCTTAACCCGTTGCTGGGCCACGGTGCTTGATTTGCGATTGCGAAACTTTAAGCAAATTATTGATAATTATTGCTGATAATTAACGTATAATACTGTGTAGCAGTACATACATACATAGGTGTTAAGATTTTGTAGTTGCTATTCAGGCATTCACTTTTTAAACAAAATATGCCATCAAAATTAACTATAATATTTACGTAAATCTATTAAATTGATCGAGGCAACGATAATTTATTTATTTAATATTTTCTTAAGTGTCGAATAATTTTTAAATTGTTTTTTTTTTAAATATTAATTATAATTAATTGGTATTCCATTAAACGAAAAAGTTTAAGGCTGCAATATTTGGTTTATTCAAAGATAACAGAAAGTGATCTTTCTACAAAAACCAGTTTTTTAAGCTTCATCTACTTGATTTAAGCTAATTAATTATAGCAAGGGGCAGCAATAAAAGTTATAATATTTTAGTCTGGATGCTTGAAAAATTATCTAAAATAATAAGCTAAATACATAGAGTGTTTTGTTCGCTTTAATCAACTAAATTTGTTTAAGATGATTTTAATAAAGCTTTAACTTTATCTGGTATTAGCACATTTGGCTTGAAAGTAACCCAATCCAAATAATGTTTCACACAAAATATCAAGTAAAGTGAAACTATGATGATAATCCGTAAAAATGATCGCAAATTCACAAACATGCTCAGATATCTGCGGCTCTTTTTCGTGACCAACAATACCCAACGAATATGTCAACAGATCGATTAACAATAGCTGCCTTTTGTCTTCTTTTTCATATTTTAGCTTACGCTTGCTTAGCACTTCTATTTATTGTTTGAGGCTTAATTAATTGTTTAGATCAAAATTCACAGATTTGTATGTTGGTTTCCATGGAGACCGGCCCCTTCCCCCGCCAAAGATTCCTGAACCACATCCCCAGTCATCCGTCATTTTCAGTGCCTCGGAGCACCGCGTCTCTGTCGCACAGGTCGCACCGTTGTCGTCGTGGGCGGATGGGTGAGGTAGATGGTCTTTGGTGTGGTGCTTGGCCGGGATCTCGGTGACGTTGCCTCCTGGAAATTGCGGGTGTAGACGTTGAAGGCAGCTGCATCGTGTTCCACGGTCTTCAGCTCGCCGGTATAGTAATCCTTGACCTGGTAGGGATGCGTCCTAATGTACTCCAGGGCCCGCAATATGTAGTCCGGCACCTGCGGTATGTGATCGCCAACGGGATGGTAGCCAAACTCATCGGCCACATAGTTGACACTGATCACAGAGCCCTCGGGCGAGGTGTAGCTGGATCCACCCTGGACGGAAACGCCGCCTAGTCCTGCCTGCGAGGCGGATATGCCATTGGAGGTCTCGTAGGCGTACCTGTAGTTGCCATCCCGCTCCACTTGCAGTTCGTTCTGGAGCGTCTTGGTGTTTCGGTCCGAATCCGGGATGTAGGAGGCACCCTGCACCTGCAGCACGGCCAAAATGGCGACGCAAAAACTAACCTGAAGGATGGGATGAGACATCTGTTATTATCCATTACGGGAAAGTCCCAGATGGGGCTGGTGCTGGGCTTACAAGCAAATACATGATGATGGAGGATGAGCTGCTGTCGTGTTCGAGTTTGGTTCTAAACTACTTGCTCGCTTCGCAGTGGCTTTCGTTTTTATATCCATCCGCTCACCAGTGATTTTTTGGCAATTTTTCTCCTCGGAAACCCAGTTCCGAGCCGCCAGCGTCGCGTCTCCGTCTCCGCCGGTGCGTCGTCATCTTCTCCATGATCGCCGTTGGTTGCCTTAGTCAGTCATAAATAAAATGATTTTATTTCTTATAAGTATTATTTTATATAGGTATCAACGACGTTATTTGTCGTTGTCGCCGCCGCTGCAATTCCTAAAGTGTGGGATGGCATAAAACCAACCAAAAAACAAAACAAGAGCGACAAAAATATATATATAAAAAAACGGAAAGAAGAGTAATAATATACTGTGAAACATTCGTGAATGGTATGCCCTACTCGAAGGTTGGGGCACTTACAATTTGATATGTATTGTGGCTGATCTTGAAAATCCCATATTGCCTTGCCCGGCTTACATTCTCAAGGAACTCTAAATACCACGACGATCGTTGAACTGCCTTACAAGATTTTTGCATCTGGAATTTGCATTTAAGTTTATTATTTGAGTGATTGATGGGTATGAATCATATGGTTAAGATTTATTTTCAATACTTTTTGTAAAAGCAGTTAAAATTTTCACGAGCTTAATTGGATTTGGAAGGAAATGGCATTCCAATGAAGGGAACACTTTTATTACTTTTCAGTTTAAGCCAAATTCGGAAGCCTTGGCTCACGTAAACGATGCTTAATTAATTCTTCTTTGTTTTCATGAAATTTGCATAGTTATTCTTAGAAATTGCATAGTTCAATCATTAAGCTCCACGACATAGTTGTTCTGATAAATGATGTATAAAGTGTTATCTTCAAACATATAATTCAATCACTTCTTTTGCCAGCAAAATCCCAGACGAAATTTCCTGCTTCATCCCAGAGATATATCTTTACCGCCGAATATACTTTTTTTGGAAGATGTGCGAGAACCCGTCCGACTAATTCAGCAAAGCGTATCTAATTCCCTAACTTATCCGTGAACAAATGTGGCAGCATTCCTTGGCAGACCCCCCCAGACCCCAGATCCCATTCTCCCGCACTTAATTTGCATATAATACAGTAAATCATGAGCGCACTCTGTAAAGCATAAAGACGAAAACGTTCTAGCCAAATTTGGCAGGTCCCCTCGTTCGGAGATTCCGAGTTTAAAATGTTGTTGATCTCTCTCTGTGTCTCTTCTCTCTGCCGAAGATCTCTTCTCAGTTTCCCCCCTTTATCACCTGGCCAGTTCCGCCTGTCATAAGCAAGTCAGCTTCTCGCTTCTTCTCTAACCTTCGTTACGGGAAATTAAAACCTTGGCCGGGTTTGCCAAATCGGACTTAATTTGGAAAGTCAAGTGGCTCAATAAAAACGTCATCTTTCTCGGCAGCCACCGTGTGAACGTTCTTGAACTCTGGGAATTTGAAACCTGGATGAGTAGTCTCCGCTCCAGGTGCTAAATGGTCTGGAACGCAGCCAAGTGCAATTCGGACGCGTTTCACCTCGGCGGGGTAATCCGACTCTGCGTTGGCGCCAATTCGAATTAGAGCTGCGTAACGATATCGAAGTCACGCCAACCGCGAAACCGGACTAAGTCGATCTTCGATCGGCGATCCGGGCCTGGGATTAACTTGGTTTGTTGACACACGGCTGACATAGCTGGCGCCTTAGTCAGTTCATCTCGACGGTGCAAAGACAATGCACCCCCAGACCCAGTTTAATGGCAAAACAATTAGGAAGGCATTTATTATTTTGGCGACAAATTGACGAGGGAACCGGTTGAGTACTTAGAGGAGTGTTATCTGCCACTCGGAATGTGGTTACAAAAAGTCAAAACAAAGAACTGGCCCGGTTAGATGGGAAAATCCAATAAAGATCGCACAAAAATATCAGATTTTCATGAAATCGAATATGTAAATTAGAATGAGTAATTACAAATTTGAGATTGTGGATCAAAGATATAAGGAGATGTACTTGTTTTAATGTTATTAAAGAATTTCAACCTTGGGTAATATATTTGAAATGCAAGGAGGGGGCTTTCGGCCTTTCAAAAAATGTGTTTCAGTGTGGCACTTGTATAAAAATGATTGTGATATCAATTAGGTAAATTGATTTGAGCTTAGCAAATGCGAATTTAACGGTTCTTTGATTATAATCATCTCAACCGAATTTAAATTTCTTCATTAATTTTGTTTTCATTATTTACCAAGCTTATCAAGACCTGAATTTGTTTTATGGATTTCCCAAAATTCCTAATGGAATTACTTATTAATAAGTAAATATGTTTTTAAACTCAATTATACTTATTGTCACTTTTCAATTTTATAAATACCGAAATATAGATCACCCTGCCTTACAAATATATAGAAAAATATTATTAACTTTATTATATATGAGTTTTAAATATAAAAAATGTAGTATTTGTTATTTAAATATTATCGAAAAATATTTTAAAAAGCCCGATCATTTCATTATTTTTTATTTAACTTTTTTTCCAGGCCATTGCCAAGTGGAGTAAGGAAAAGGAGATAGCTCTAGTGGTCGTGGGACCGGAAGATCCGCTAGCCTTGGGCTTGGGCGATGTCCTGCAAAAGGAGGGCATTGCTTGCTTTGGTCCTGGCAAACAGGGTGCCCAAATCGAGGCGGACAAGAAATGGGCCAAGGACTTTATGTTGCGTCACGGGATTCCAACGGCACGATACGAGAGTTTCACGGACACGGACAAAGCCAAAGCGTTCATCAAGAGGTGAGTTATATGGGTCTTTCAAGTGTTTTAAAGTGAAATGAAACTGGATACCTGTTTTCCAGCGCCCCCTATCCGGCTCTGGTGGTGAAGGCGGCTGGTCTGGCCGCTGGCAAGGGTGTGGTGGTGGCCGCCAATGTGGATGAAGCCTGCCAGGCAGTGGATGAAATCCTGGGCCAGCTAAAGTACGGACAAGCGGGAGCTACCCTGGTAGTGGAGGAGCTTCTGGAGGGTGAAGAGATCTCGGTGCTGGCCTTCACCGATGGCAAGAGTGTGCGCGCCATGCTGCCCGCCCAGGATCACAAGCGGTTGGGCAACGGCGACTCTGGACCGAACACCGGCGGCATGGGGGCCTACTGTCCATGTCCGCTGATTAGTCAGCCGGCACTGGAACTGGTCCAAAAGGCCGTTCTTGAGAGGGCCGTGCAGGGCTTGGCCAAGGAACGAATCTCCTACCAGGGTGTTCTCTACGCAGGACTCATGCTGACACGCGATGGTCCCCGCGTCCTGGAGTTCAACTGTCGCTTTGGCGATCCGGAGACTCAGGTCATTCTGCCGCTGCTCGAAACCGATCTGTTTGATGTGATGCTGGCTTGTTGCACCGGAAAGCTGGACAAGCTCACTCTGCAGTGGCGGAGTGGAGTCAGCGCCGTGGGCGTGATCCTAGCCAGTGCTGGCTATCCGGAGACTTCCACAAAAGGATGTATTATCACAGGTATGCATTTCTTGATAATCCAGTTTAAGATTTTCTAAATTGTATTTTTTGTAGGTCTTCCTGCGAACAACACTCCGACCCAACTGATATTCCATAGTGGCCTGGCCGTGAACAAAGAAAAACAAGCTCTGACCAATGGCGGTCGTGTCCTAATTGCCATTGCTCTCGACGGCGGCCTGAAGGAGGCAGCTGCCAAGGCCACCAAATTGGCTGGCAGTATCAGCTTTTCCGGCTCTGGAGCTCAGTACAGAACGGATATTGCCCAAAAGGCCTTTAAAATGTAAATACAAGTTAATCATCCATCAAAATTGAATGAGAAAAAATAAAAAATAAAAGAATCAAGCCATTAAAACTCAACAAGAGATCATTTCCCACTACATTTTATGCTTCAAAGCTTCTCGTTGCATAACAAATGTGTATCTTAATATTTATTTATTTATTTAGAGCCACTGCCAGCACTCCAGGATTAAGCTACAAGGACAGCGGCGTAGATATCGATGCTGGCGATGCTCTTGTCCAGCGGATTAAGCCCTTGTCCCGCGGCACCCAGAGGCCGGGCGTTCTTGGCGGCCTGGGTGGCTTTGGTGGACTTTTTCGCCTAAATGAGCTCAGCTACAAGGAGCCCGTCATTGCCGAGGCCACACAGGGAGTGGGAGCCAAGATTAAGCTGGCCCTGGAGCACGAATTGTATGAGAATGTGGGCTACGACCTATTTGCCCTCTCTGCCAACGATCTGCTTGAGTTTGGTGCTGAGCCTGTGGCCTTCCTGGATTACATTGCCTGCGGCAAGCTTAACGTTCCGCTGGCTGCTCAGCTGGTCAAGGGAATGGCTGATGGTTGTCGGGATGCGCGCTGCGCTTTAGTTGGTGAGAAAAAAATCTTTTAATTCACCTTGAGGAAACCCATTAACATCCATTTCTACCTTCCAGGTGGCGAAACAGCGGAGATGCCCTCACTCTATGGACCCGGTCAGCATGACATGGCCGGCTATTGTGTTGGCATCGTGGAGCAGTCTCGCGTTCTGCCACGATTTAATCTCTATCAGCCAGGAGATCTTCTTATTGGCCTGCCGTCATCTGGACTCCACTGTGCCGGCTTTAACGAAATTCTCACAAGGCTGCAAGACTTGAAAGTGAATCTCAAGGATCTGTCCCCCGTCGACGGTGGAGAGGATGGTCTCTCCCTGGCCCATTCCCTGGCCACGCCCACCCGACTGTATGTTCAGCAGCTGCTTTCCCACCTCCAGAAAGGGGATGAGATCAAGTCGGTGGCCCACGTGACCCATGGCCTTCTGAACGATGTACAGCGCCTATTGCCTGAGGGTTTCGAGACCACACTGGACTTTGGAGCGGTTCCCGTTCCCAAGATCTTTGGCTGGCTGGCGGGAAAGCTTAAGCTCAGCGCAGCAACATTGCTGGAGCGACACAATTGCGGCATTGGTATGCTTTTAGTCCTGCCACAGTCTAGCCAGTTGTGGCGCACATCCCTGCCAGGGGCCAAGGTTTTGGGCGTTCTGCAGCGACGAGCAAAGACCACTGGAGCTGCAGTGCAGGTGCGCAACTTTACAGAGCAACTGCAGCGCGTAGCTGCTCCTTTTGGAGGACTTGGTGAACGTGAGCTGCCAGAGGAGCTAAAAAAACTGGCCTCCAAAGACGCTGTAGCAGCCTCGAGGGCGGATTGCTTTGAGAATGCAGTTGGACGCCGTCTAACTCGGGTTTCGGGTAACTACAAGGACCCTATTCTTATTTTGGGCACTGATGGTGTGGGCACCAAGCTGAAAATTGCCCAGCAAACGAATCGCAACTCCAGCGTGGGCATCGATCTGGTGGCCATGTGTGTCAACGATATTCTGTGCAATGGAGCCGAGCCGCTGAGCTTCTCCAGCTACTATGCCTGTGGTCAGTGGCAGGAGGAGCTGGCCAAGGAGGTACATGGCGGAGTCCTAGAGGGTTCTCGGCAGGCCAACAGCAGTTTCATTGGTAAGTAATCTTGGTCTGAATATCAAGTACAATGTTTTATGAACAATTCCTTGCCAGATTCGCACAGTGCTGCCCTGCCGCTGCTGTACGAGCCCCAGGTGTATGACCTGGCTGGCTTCGCCCTGGGTATTGCTGAACGCTCTGGTATCCTGCCCCGTTTAAGCGACATTCAGCCGGGTGATGTGCTCATCGGCTTGCCATCGTCAGGTGTCCACAGCAATGGTTTCAGTCTGGTGCATGCCGTCCTGAGACGCGTCGGCTTGGGTCTCAACGATAAGGCGCCTTTCAGCGAGAAGACACTTGGCGAGGAGCTGCTCGTGCCCACCAAGATATATGTAAAGGCATTGGCCGAGTTGCTATCGCAACCAAATCACGGGATCAAGGCTCTAGCCCACATCACCGGCGGCGGGCTCAGTGAGAACATTCCGCGCGTGCTCCGCAAGGATCTGGCAGTGCGTCTGGACGCCAATGAATTTCAGCTACCGCCTGTCTTTGCCTGGCTGGCGGCAGCTGGAAACATTAGCTCCGCCGAGTTGCAGCGCACCTACAACTGCGGCTTAGGTCTGGTCCTGGTGGTTTCCGCCGCCGATGCCGACCGTGTACTGAAGGAGTTACGGTACCCACAGCGGGCTTCTTTGGTTGGAGAGGTTATTGCCCGCAAGGATCCGAAGAAGCCGCAGGTGGTGGTCCAGAACTTCGAGGCCTCGTTGGCGAGGACCCAAAAGATGCTCTCCACGCCCCGTAAACGAGTGGCTGTTCTCATCTCGGGAACGGGCAGCAACCTGCAGGCACTCATCGATGCCACTCGCGATTCCGCCCAGGGTGTGCATGCCGAGATTGTGCTGGTGATAAGCAACAAGCCAGGTGTCCTGGGCCTGGAACGTGCCACTCGTGCCGGAATACCCTCCGTGGTCATCGCACACAAGGACTTTAAGACTCGAGAGCTCTATGACGACGAACTGACGCGAAATCTCAAGGCAGCTCGTGTGGATTTGGTGTGCCTAGCCGGCTTCATGCGCATTTTGAGTGCACCGTTTGTTCGGGAGTGGTCTGGCCGTCTCATCAATATCCATCCTTCTCTGCTGCCCAAGTACCCGGGTCTACATGTCCAGCGGCAGGCGTTGGAGGCTGGCGAGGAGGAGTCGGGATGCACGGTTCATTTTGTGGACGAGGGCGTGGACACGGGAGCCATTCTAGTTCAGGCTGCAGTTCCCATTTTGCCCGGAGACGATGAGGACGCTTTGACGCAGCGCATCCACAAGGCCGAGCACTGGGCGTTCCCAAGAGCTCTAGCCCTGCTGGCCAGCGGAACAGTGCGTCTCAGTGCCGAGGGAAGAACTACACTGCCATCCTAGGCTGTTTTTGAGTTAGGCACGGAAATCACAGGGATGGATACATCTGCCAATAAATGACGTTTCTTTATATGCATTTTTGATTGGTTAAGACTGCAATTCATTTTTATTAAAAATAACTATTATATCACTAATATCACCAATTGTTTGTTCAAAACAAACTTTCCATCACAAAAGATTGCTAAAGAGGGAAAAGATGCTTGTACTCGTGCTCTGCTGCTTCTGATCATTGTTGTTGATATAGGCATCCGGAGTGGGTCGTCGCTTCAGGTTGCGCTGCAATCCTGGCTCCTTGAAAACCCTTTCGGCCATTGTGTCCAGGTTCTGGCGAAAGAACTGATTCTTCAGGATGGGCACCAACAGGTTGTACTTGTCTATGAGCTTGTTCAGTTGCTGGACTTCCTCCTGGTGCTGCTGACTGAACGTCTGCCAGGCGGCCAGCTCTTCGGGGCGTTGCAGTGGCCACTCGCCGTAATGGGTACGCTCCTGGAGCACCTTCTCCTTGAGCTGGGCCACAGCCTCCCGTATGTCCTTGCTGAGGCTGATCCACTCCGGCGTGAAGCCGTTGTCCAGCATTATCTTGTTCAGCTTGTGCGTGGTAAAGTCCAGATAGGGAGTCTGCGACTGGGCCGATGAAAGCGGCTTCCCGACCCCATTTAGATTGTCAAAGTCGCCCTTGGACATTGCCTCCTGGATGAGATCCTCCACCACGCGCTCGATGCCGTACTTGGTCTTGATGGCGTGCTTGCGGAAATGATTGCCCTTGGACATTAGGGTCTTCTCGCCCGCAGCCGCCTTGTCGATGCGATGCTCGAGGACGCGCTCTTGTGCCTTCATGGCACGCACCTGCTGGTACTGCTTCTGGCGCTGGAACGGTGTACCGACGCCAATGCCCTCGTTGGACAGGTACTGGCGGTGCTGCGGAGCAGTGTGCTGAATATCAAACTCCATGGCCTCGTCCTCGTCCTCCTGAATGTTGCGTCGCCCTTTGGCAAACTTCTCCTGCAGCACCCTGAACGCCTCGTCCACCTGCTGGAATCGTTCGGCGCTGGCCTCTTCGGTGCCCGAGTCCGGATGCACTCGCTTCACCAGGTCCAAGTAGGCGTGGCGCACGGTATTCTGATCCGCCGACTCGTGCACGCCCAGGATGCGGAAACACTCCTAATGATGCAGATGGGACGTTATATAAGGGGAAAGGAAGCAACGCAACTTAAGGTCTCCTCTTACCGAATAAACCTCGCGGCGTTTAAGATGCAACAAGCGACAGGAAGTGCGGCCTGTGTGGAGAATGGAGCCACCAAGGACACGTCCTGCCAGCCACATTGTGAACTGATTTTAATTGACTGCCAAGTCAAGGTTCGTTTTAAAGTTAGTTTTTAACACTCTGACACTAATCTCATTCATTCTATTATTATCATTTGTTTACTTTTTGCGATAAGAACAGCTGTTCTTGGCCGATTTTGGTATTTTGAAATTTATCGATTTGGTATCGAACCCAACTACCACCACTAATAATGTAACGTTTCTTTTTCAAAAAATGAACTTTTTTATCTGCTAGCAAACCATTTTCATTAGGTTTTCATGTTTTTAGTGAAAATAGTAAGGCGTAAGGTGCCTAAGTATCGGAAAATTCATGTTTTGATCATAAAAAATGTATTGGTCGCCTCCCGAAGAAGATTTATTGTAGTACAAAACGAGAGGAGGTATACTTTTAGGCTGGAAACACTATTGGCTTATCTTCTTTAATCTTTATCTTTATCTTTAATCAGGTTCAGCATAAATAAAAACAAGTTTTGTAAACCTATTAATTTTACTAAAATTTTACTAAACTTTGAATTTATTGCAAAATTTAAAAATAATTCCATTATTCAGAAGAATGTGGCTTATTAATAACGTGAAACTCCGCTCCTAGAGCAAATTAAAAGCGACTGGGATGGGTTTTCAAGCGGAGAAGATCGAGATCCACAGGTATGATGAGGTGCTTGGATAAATATTGAAGCGTGTTGGACTTCTGTTTTGTAATGCGTGTTCGCTCCCAATGAGTGCCTAACCCACATCCAAAGCAGAAAAATAAATATATTCTAGATTCGATTGAAGGCGATGACCAAATCTGCGAAAGAGCCAAGCTCATCTGCAATTCAAAGCACCCTTCATGCTCTACATAAACTGAAATAAGTTCGCTGTAATTGTGTCATAATTAAAAGGTGAAAATAGTATTCCTTTACCCAGTCGTTAGCTACATTAATTAGCTAATATAATGGAAACTACATAGGTACTCAAGGGATAAAGAGATTTTTATAAATAGTTTTCAATTGTAAAATTTCGCTTTTCCGTAGAATAAGCTTTATTAAGATAAACTATATAATTTTAAACCTGGTCCCATAATTATGATTCAATTAAAAATTTGTGGGCTGATTTCTTGGAATTACCGGTCTGGACTGCTCTTTTTTTCTAGCATCCCGTTTGGCTTGTTTGGCCCCGACACATTAGCATACATATAGAGGACAGGATGCTTCTGGCTTGCTCCAAATACTCTTGTTCAATCTGTGCCATGCTGTCTTCTAGTCATCGTTTTCCACGGTATCGGGCGTGAACAGTTCGCATACTTCAAGAAACTGTGCAATCTTCATGCCGGCATAGCCACCCAACAAAATCCCTGGTATGACAGTGGCCACAACACGAAAATATATGAGTTTATCAGCCTTTTGAATTTTTTTCAGCTCCTTGAAATCTTTGTCGCGTCGACCGAATGGCATCTTGTATAGGCTGAAGTAGGGTCTTTCGAAATTAAAATACAAAACTTATTCTGAGGGTAATGTCAAGACTTTCTCTGACCAAAATTGGGCAGGCAAGCCCTAGAACTTGGACACTGAGCCCGAACCCGACCCAAACCCTCATCTGGCATGCGTGTCGCCGGAATATTTCAATGTGCGCCCTATATGGTACTTCCGTTCTGCTGTCCCAGCAGTTAGATTTCGTCAACCGTCTGATGGCCACTCTTCAATTGGCTTGTAGTGGTCTTCGCTTCCCACTTTGAATGGCTGACGATTTGGCCTTATGTTTAATGTGTCACTGTGGTCTGAGCACTGTTCAATTTCACTGTCTGGCAGAGCGTAGAAAGATACATAGGTCCTGAGACGGGGATAATGGCTTTTCCTGTCATACAAAACTATAATTAGAGTAGTAATTTCTTTAATTTTAAGCATAATTAGTAACCAGGCTCGATTCAAGTATTTTATATTTACTATACCCACAAAATTAGGCTGACAAAGAGGGTTAAACTCATCAGTAAAGTGATTAACAAATGGCAATATTCATCCTGAAAAACTAATGGCAGCTTGAAAGCTGTATTGTAAATAACTTCCAAGGGTATAGAATGTTAAACAAACCCTGTTTTATGACTACTTTTATGACCTCTTTTAGCAGGTTCGTTGCCTGAGTCTCTTGTGGGCCTCTAATATATCTATATTGCTTCCGTTTGCCATTTCGCACATCTTGAGGGGTTGTTAGGATCTTAGTTATCCAGAATTCAGGATGTTTGGGTAAAACCTGCCATCGGAGGCACATGCCTAACGCAATTAGGTGGAATTTTTAAAGACACAAAAATACATCGTTACGTAAAGTATGAACCCATTGCGAAAAATAGGAAAAATTTAATAAAATAAATTAAGTATATTTAGTATCATAAAAGCGAAGGATTCTAAGGCCTTAAAAAATATAAAAATGGTGCCAGTTAAGTACTAGAGATTAAGTCTAATTTGTAACAGTCCTACTTTTATGGCCCACTCTATTTTATTAGTCAACCCTTCAGCAGGTTCGTTTCCTCAGTCTTTTGTTGGCCTCTTTCTGGTTTCCCTTCCTTTCGTCATTTCGAGTACTTTTCAGTCATAGGTAAATTTTGATAATTACAACTTAAAAATGTAAAGTTATTGCAAGGCGTTGATGCACTATGTACAGTACAACTTGTACAACTTGAATATTTATTCTTGTATTGCAAGTTCGTTGCTTAAGTCTTTCGTTTGCCTATGCAAGATATCCTAGTAAAATTTGGCTGAGTTCTATTTGTCTTTTAATTTTTGAAATAAGGTAGCTGAACAGAATGGGGATTAAGGAATCACCAGCATCTTTGAATACAATTAGCTGGATTTTCTCGGAAAGCAAGGATGCTGTGGCTAATCCTGCCTAGAAGACTAAACCCATGTACACACGCACTTGGCCAAAGGTATGTTAGGCTGTAATCAAGCAACCTTTTTGCCGGCTAGATTTCCGAGCCGAGTATTAAGCGGTAACGGCGGCGACGATCGATCGGCGGAAGGCCAAGAAGTCGCAAGCTTTCGGCCCGAGTCTTCGGCTTTTCAGTATGCTTTCGACTGTGGCGCGTTGTGGACGTTGAGAGGCTGCGGCAAAACTTCAGCTGCTAAACAAGTGTATGTATCGATCACTGGCTGGGTGTGTGCGTGTGTGAGTGCCGAGAGCCGTTAAGAAGTCTGCGGAGGCAAGAAAATCCGAGGAACGGGCACGTTGCGCTGTCTTATTTTCTTTGCGCCGTCTTACATTTCTACCTTCTTTTACTCTGTTTCTCTTCTGCTTCTCTGCCTTCTTCTTGAGCTGCCTTTTTGCTGTCGTGTCTTGTGATATCGTGTGAGTGTGTGTGTGTGTGTGTGCGGGCTCGAGTGTGTGAGCGGAGACTTCAGGTGCAGGCGCGTTGATTTTTTCGAACAAGTTTCAGTCTGAATCTGGCCTTCGTGTGGCATGGTACAGTAAACGCTCTCCCGGATCTTTAGATATCAGTGCCCTGGTGTGCCTTGGCTTGTGAATGTATTTGGCCCCGAAACTGGATTTATTCAATTGTTGTTTTGTGCTCAATTCTGTGTGTGTTTGTGTGGCAAAGGATTTCTGTGCATTTTAATAGAGGCGCGTGCTTGGATCGTGTGTTTAAAATGCAACAAGCCAAACAAAAGGAAAATTTCCAAAGTGCAACATAAGCAGTGAACATTGGGGACCAGTTTAGATTCCAGCAAGTGTTAGCCAAGCCAAAAGAAACCTTTTGAAAACAAAATAGTGCCAAAAGAAAATAGGAAACACTTAACCTGCATTTAAACCAACATTTAAATAACTACAAATTCAAAAACAATTCGATAAACCATACCACACCTAGGAAGTTAATTTAAAATAGAGCAAATCTTGCCGCTATAATGATTCTGTGTTGTTTTTAGCCAACCAAGTTAGTTGAACTTCTAGTATAATTTCTTTTAGCCATTTTCTTATGCTTCTTCGGTTTTTACCAGTCCATTAACTTGTCTGTGCCTTTTGCACTTTACTTTTGTTAACTGACATTAGACGGCTGCCAAGACACGTATGGTGTAGTACCCTCGGGGAATGGTAGCAGTACCCTCCACAGGGGTAACACACTCCACCGTACTCACTTCACATGCCAGCTGCGCATTTACGCTCCCATTAACCGGGCCTAAATAACACACACATATGCGGCGAAAAGAAGCCACAACTGGGCAGCAAGTGCTTTGCACAACAATACGACCAAGAGAAATGGCGCTGCCAGAAATAAGCACAAGCTGTTGCCAAAAAATAATTAGGGCTGCAGTCTAAGTGCAGTCAGTTTCGGTTAGGTAATTCCAGCCACAACTCCCTTCAAACAGTTTGTTGCTCAAGTCATTTGTTTGGCAGAACTAGTTTGTGCCTTAAGTCATTTGTTTATTTTTTTTGTTTAAATCATGGCAAACAGAAATGTGAAATTGGAATTCTTCGAGGCTCGGTTTTCACTTAATTAGCATAAGTATTTCTTCGAAGATTTCGGTTACCTCGAAACCTAAGAATGTTCCCAACGCATTCCGAAAACGTGCTCAGACTGGTGACGAGAACTCTCGGTGTGACTTCTTTCGGTTCTCCGCCATGGCATGCATAATTAAACAGACCCAACCCCTTTAGAGAAACTATAGATAGTCGGTCTATACGCAGGGATCGTAAATTAGCTTTATGTGACGCGGTTTAATTTCGTTTAGCTTAATCTTTAATCAACTTGAATATACCTCCCAGCAGTGCAACACTGGCCTTGCCCATTAAAAACTATATATACACGTATATATGTATATATACATAAATAGTGAACGAAAAAACCAAAAGTTGCCATAAAGAAAAAGAGCTGACACCGCCGTTGTCGGGAAAGGGAGAGAGAGAGAGAGAGAGAGACCGTCGTTGTAGTCGCCTTTGTTGACCTCAAGGATAACCAGCTGACATGCCACATAAATTGGAATACTAAATATTCGCGAACGATACATAACGAACCCATATTGTGGTTATATTTATACCTACAGCTGCATTTATAAGAGGTGAGTTGCATATTGAAAGGGCTGCGAACAGGCTCTTAAAGAGTGGAAGAGTAAAAGAATTGGGGGGCTTGAAGGGAATCGGAAATAAGAGGGAACTATCGGGACTGGAATATTGATGAATAAATATAGTGATGACTATATTCTTCGGCTTTGAAGCTGACATCATTACAATGCGCTAGCTACTATCCATCATTAAACAATAATGAAGTAAAAACCAATTTCAGGCCACGCCTCACTTCGACTCGGTCATTGCGCAAATATTCGATTATATACATATGTATCCATAAACAATGGCATGCTTTCGTTTTATCCAACAATTTGCAATTAAACTTTGCTTTAATTGTATTTAAATAATTGATTGATTCCTCTGATTGCGCCGAGAGTGGTTATGCTGTGGGCCATATATAAAACAATCAATATACACATATGTGTGTTTCCATTAAGCCATAAAAAGTGGCACACGCGGCCACAACACAGCGACAATAAGAACAATTTCTTTTACTTTCTATTAGACAAAACCCCAAAAAGAGCTTCGATTGCCTGCCGGCCGTGTCTGACTCGCCTTTGTTGTCACATTCATTCAATAAAGGCCAAGTCGAGCGGGCCCTCAGCCCCACTGCTGCCGCTCCCCCGGAGAGGCGAAAAGCGAGAGCTACCAAACAGTTAACCTCAATTTCAAGACGCACTCTGAGCGCTGCTGCTGTTGTTGTTCTTATTGTTGTTTTTGTTGCTTAATAACAGAAACCGAAACGCCGTAGAAATAGTAAAAAATTTCACTCAAGCCAAGTCAACTTAAAGTGAAAAGCAGAACAAATGACGTACAAGCCCGTCACAAAAATCCCACTCGTTGGATCTTTAAACAGCGCACAAAAACTTTATTTGCTCTCCTCTGTGGCTCAGTTTTTTTTTTGGCAAAGCAAAGCTATTTGGCAAACACAAATAAACTCGTTTCTTTATGGAAATTTGTGCCATGATTAAGGAATCTCGAAAGAGATGAGTTCTACTTAAGTAATTTCCATAGCTCTGCTAAAAAGTATCGAATCAAGTAAAACTTGTTTTAGCGCGTGCTTTATGGCCCAAGTTGCGCTGAGGCTTAGTCATAATTTGTATATTGGTATTTACCTCGGAGCTGCCAAACGGAAGTTGCGGATAAATGTGGAAAGCTAGCCGTGAAGTACCTTTTTACATAAACATTCCTATAGAGAAGCCAAGTTCGTTGCCTAAGTCTTTCGATTTGTCTGTGTTTAGTAATTGCGTTAAATTGCGATTTGGCCAGAATTGCATGAACAATTTCTCTTTCAATGGCTTTTGACTCTTATATAAAAGAAATTAAATTATAAATTAAAACTTTTCCTGCTTTTTTCACTGCCTAAACCGAAAACAATGGTATTGAGTTTCGTTTGCACTTCGATGATCTAATCCCCCATTTCACAGGAATCAAACCTTAAAAGAAACGCCACAAAGAAATCTATTAGTTGGGCTATGAGCGCA